TTATCAGATTTAAAATGCAAATTTTAGATGCATATTAATCTTAAAAGATAGCCCTTTTTTTTGCCTATATATCTTGCTATTTTGAGTAAGCCTATTTGATAATTAATGTTATAGTCTCATTAATTATCAAATTTTTCTTATAATTTCTTCATAGAGGTTTTTTGGTTTCAAGTCGTTTAATATATTTTTTTGAATTGAGTTTTCGATGTCAATTTGCATGATATTTTGGATGCATGTTTATTTTTCTTATTTAAAATTTGGTTTTATTTTGAAGCTCCAGTGATTACTTGAAAAGGTAGTATCGTATATTTCAGTATTTATAGGTGGAAGGTGAGACTGCTCGTAGTGTTGAAGAAGCAATCAAGGTACTATCCATAAAAGCATCACCTAGAGACTATCATCCTGAGAAAAGGGTTAGAGCTGCTTATCAGGTATATTTTACGAGGATCATGAAATTCGGATTCATAAACTATTGTTAAATTAATTTAAAGCAACCTTGTTATAATGGTTAAAAATTTCACATGTGCAAATGTTTCCAATATTAGAAAAACGAAAGATGAGTCAAGAACTCATATGAAGTCTGAAATTCATGATTTAGTACTTCAATACTTTGACCTTCAGATTTTTTATGTTATGTGAGGGTTTCGAAAAGTGTAAAGATTTTTGAATGAAAATTTTATAGCGATCTTCATGGAATTTATTTAGGAGTTTGAAGAAAAGTTGTTACCACAATTAAAAAAAGAATTTCCTACTTATCGATTATCACAGCTGAAGCAGGTCTTGAAGAAACGATGGCAGAAGTCACCTGAAAATCCTCTAAATCAAAAAATTTTAGATATTATTCAGTAGTGCGTATAACTTGATATGTATTTATTGACTTTTTCACTTTTTGAAAAAATATGTGTACTCAATTTCATATGCAGTAATTATCTTCAGCAAGTATTTTTTGTTTGAATATTTTTCGAAGTTAATATTTATTTTTCTGTATTTCGAATAAGAATTAAGTATCCTTGCTTTATTTCGGTAAATTGGACTTTATTTGGCGAATTGAATTGAGTCTTCACTTACACAGTAAGTTAGTCTGTCGTACTTCGAAACAATTTTAAAAAATGCTGACTTAGATCTTTAAGGAAGCGAGCAATTGTGCTAGGTGTTCCAGCTCACTTGGCAGCATTTTTCGTTGCTTAATTTTGGGACATGGCTGTGATTTATGCACAGCCATTTTACACACGAAGTTATGATTTGTCGGTGGCTAAACAGTGATCATTTTTTCAATATGGAAATTAATTTAATACAAGACGGCATCATTTAGAAGTGGAACGTGATTTAGTGGTATAAATCTGCAATGGTCAATGTTTGGCTTGTTAAGTCTGGATCTAATATTGTTATGCGTTCATTTGGTCGTGAGAAGTCTGTGAAAGAAATATTAGATGAAGTGGTTACTGATCAAGGAAAGCGCACCATGTCTCGTATGTTTTTTGACGCAAATCATGATTGCGAACTATATTGCAAAGTATAGGACTTTGAAGCAGTATCAGTTTGTAGTTTTTTTTTAGGAGAATTGCTTTTCATTTTCAAAGTTTCTGTTTAGATTTGGTATTTTTTGGAAGAGCGCTCGAAGAAAATGTAAAACTATTTGAAGTAGGAGATATAAAAGATAGTCATACACTACATGTGGTAGTACGTTGTAATAAAGATATCAATTCAAAGCCCCAACTCGATAATAAGAAATTGTTGGAATGCAGAGAAAAATTTCGGTTTTTAAAAGCTTCAAAATCCGATCGAGATATGGTAAGACCTTGTTTCTTCTTTGCTATATATATAATAGTTTTTACGGAAATAGTAAATGTTGAAATTGATGCGTTTTACAGGTGTGTTGAGCTGAAATTTGTAGTTTGAAATTTCTGTAAGGGCGTTCTCTGACTTCTGCTGTTATGAAATAAGAATATTTTATTAAATCAAAGTGAAATTAATATTCTTGCTCGTTCGATTTAGCCAATAAAGGCTGTTATCCAAGACGTTGTGCAAACAAATAAATCGACGTCGTACCTAACAAGTAAATTATTGCAGATGATGGAAAAACTGCTTCAAGATGACTTCATTAAAGATCTACTGATTGAATTTCCAGTGCTAAAACACGATCAGGAGGCGCTAATAATATCTAAAGATTATCTGCTCTCCTATTCCTTTATAATGAATAAACAGAAAAACGCGGAAAGATTTCTTCATGATCATCCAGTATTAATAAACATCATACGTTATATAAAAATATATATGTTTTTTAATCGATTAACAAATCACATATTAAATGTTTGTTTTTACACAATAATTATGTTAGTTCCATTTTCAGATTTTGGTGCATGTTATCCATTACTGGCTGCGCGATGTTCTTTTGCCTGCTAGAATGCCTTATTCTATTTCAAATTCTTCGTTAACAGAGATTCCTCCTCCTGAACAGGATGGTTTTCTACCAGTTATTACTCAAGAAATGTTACGAGAGGTACGATAAATATGTGTTTTCGGCGTTTCTGTTTATTATCATTGCTGCTTAAAAGTTTATATTTATTAGTATTAGGAAAGCTAATTTTTACTAACCTTTCAGCTTTGGCATAGTTATTATATATTTTGAAAGGGCAAAAGTCTA